TTTGAGAGTGTTTGATTCGGGGTCCTTTGCTCTATGTCTTTTCTTCCTTTTATACTTCCTGAATGATTTTTTCGTAATCAATTGTTTAAAAACTGCTTGATCGCTCTATAACTGACCACTTTCTTTGTAGTGGCCAACTTGTTATGGAACTGCCTTCTCTAACTACTGCCATTACTTTTTGTCGTTCAACCATCTTCAATTGAATTCCTTGAATCGTGGAACGTGATAGGACTATCCAATAATTGCTTCTTTAACTGCACTTTTGGGTAACCATAAAGAATGTTTGTTAAGATGCTGGACGACTCGAATGTTTGGGCGAGAGCAGGGTCACAGCTCTGGGCGATTGCATGGCAATTCATTCGCTCAAATCTTGGGCGACTTGCAACCTTGGACGATGGTGTTACCGCGTTCATGGGCTTCCCTATTTGGACCTTTATCCTGCATTGCCTGATTAGGTCGTTCTTTGGGTTATTTGATTTTGGAAATCTTCCAATTGGGCTTCATTCCTTGGGCTATTCGACTTGTACTGAACTTTTTGTGTGTCAACACTCTGTTTTTGGCATAAATAAATAAATATACAAAACTAGGAACTTAAATATTTTTTTTTTGAAAAGAATTTAGATGCAATTGCTTGCATCTCTTCAATTGGATCCCAGTATTACTTTTTTGTGCCTAAGGGAGGAAGGATTGAGGAGACTTCGAGAAATGCTTACGAAGTTCATTTTTTGGGAGTTGCAGTTTATAGCAAAAAAGGTCTGAGACTTATGTGGTTCTACAATTCTGCCAAGTTAAGATGCAACATTAAAAGTCAAATATTGAGGTTTAATTTGAAATTTAGTAAATTTATAAGGTAGAATCTGTGATTGCTTGAACTTATAACATGCATAAACGAATAGTAGATGATTATGTTGAATTAGATGAGCAAAACTTTTGCTTTTCACATATATTATGCTGTGAATTGATTGCAGAACGTTGTAGAGAGCCATGGAAGTACAGATGGTAGTCGCCCATTCACTCAGGCACTAACAACAATGGGTTCACGTAACTGGCATGACGTGGTATGGATGTTGATATTTCTGGCACATTTGATTTTGATAGGTTTTACTCTTGGGTATTTTGGACTCAAAAGGTTTAGGAAAGTTAGGCTAAATATTGGCATGTACAAAGTGGGTCTAACTGAAGATTTTTGGCCTTTGTATGCTGTCGCTGGCAGAGTTGGGACTCTTCTAGGGTGGACTTGGTTATTATGGTTTGGTTCACATGCAAATCAAGCGATGGAATTCTCGATGCACCTGTTGGCTACATATCTTGCTGTAATAAGGCGTGCTATGTTTTGGGGGTGAACAGTTATTCTGGGGTGCTGCATTTGGCATTGCTGCTGCATTTCAGTTCTTGTATGTCATATCAGTCATTGACAGGTAAACCACAGTGACCTCTCCGCGTTTTGACATTTTGGTGCATGTTTTGAGTTGAGTTTTAGGGTTATCGTTGTGCCACATTTTAGAATGTTTGAATTGAGGTCTTCATGTGGAGCAACACTCTGTAGTTCAATTAAGTTGTAGTACTATACATGCTTAAATAAATGCCTTACATATAGATTTCTGCACAGATTGTTGGACTATATTTTATGCTTGCATCCCAGGTTTTCTCTACTTCGTTATTTGACTAGGAAAATTTCAATTAGAATTGCATTTTGATTGGCTATAGAATGAAAGGGGATACGACGGATGCAAGAGATTTAAAAATTTCCAGCCCCTTAAGATTGTAGAAGAAATTGATAATTTTGGGAAAATAGTTGTTTTCACATGGGAATGGAGTGTGGAGATCATAAATATATGTTAAGGATATATTGGGAAAAAAATATCCAACTTTCAAGATATATTTTGGTTACTTACTCATTCTAGATTTTGATTTTCTATTACAGTCACGTTTCCCCATGTAATTCCCATGACATGCTTCTGTATATTCTTTATTGGATATTTTTTCTCATGACATCATGCTACTCTGTCTTCCTCTCTTTCTTTCTTCCTCCATGCACACACACACATATATTTTGTGCATTGGTTATTTGACCTTTTCTTATTCTATAGACTTCCGTTCACCACGCTGGTGCTAGAAAAAGCAGTGAAGATGGTATATGGGATATTCCTGAGATCATAAGAGCAGCATGCATAGTTATGCTTGTCATGCTCTTTTGATTAACATTAGGGTCCTTTGGGGTTGCTGGTGTTGTGGCTTCAAGTTTTGAAGATGGTGTGCTCTGGTGGCTTCTTATGGTGAGTTGGCAAGTTATTGATCGTATTTCATTTTCTTTAAAAAGAGTTGCAATGCTGATTCTGTAAACTATTCACCCAGCAACATAAGAAAATGTTGTTACTTGTATGTACAGGTATTGTCTGTGAGTTTGTTTTGGACTGGTACAGTTCTTTGCAGTACAAAGTCTATTGGTTGGATTGTTCTACTAATAATATATGTCCACATTTGTGATTTCTGTATGACTAACAAATCTTAGGGTTAATAACTAGATCATACTTATTTTATATATATTAGGGGATTGAGGTCAAAGATTGGGGGAAACAAGTGTTTGCTCTGTTATGTTGATTTTCTGTTTCATCTGGTAGAGTTTTTAGTTCGTTGATATAATAAGTTTGCTTATGTTCAGGTACTTTTTCTATATATACAGTGTTCATTCTCCCTCTTCATTCTTCCATAATATTAAGACTTTTTATGGAATATGAGATATGCTCTTTTACTTTGCTTGCTTCGACGGTGATTGATTGGGAAATATGTCTCCTACAGAGTGTATAATTCGTGCCTTTTTATGATGAATATCGAGTTAAACATGCAGAATTGAAACTGAAGAAAAAGTGAAATGAAAATGGATGTGAAATGAGTTTTAATGTTGTATATTGGTGAGAGCCTTGATTGGATTTGAAGTTAGAGGATTTTAATTTCCCCAACTTCTTTGGGAAGTTGTCTCTAGTGGTATTTTTGCATTGATCTGTCTGATGGTGAAAAAAGAAAGAAAGATAAAAGAATTAAGCCAAATGAACATAGCTCTTGACACAATGGATGACATAGCACTCACATCCGAGGTGGTGGGTCCCTATGAATAAAATAATCCGACCTCCCCCATGTGCGTGTCGTATGTCATCCCCGATGTCAACCTCTATGGTTGAGTAGCATGGTCCAACATAAAAACTCACAAGCTGATTGTGCTGACTTGTGCTTGCGTTCTAAATTTTGTTAATGTATCAATATTCTAAGTATGCTGAATCTTGTCCTCCATTTTAATTATGTTAAATGCTCAATTCGAACCTGTTGATGACTAAGATCTTACATTAGTTAAGCAAAATTTTTGTAGTTAAAATACAAGGCTTAAGTGACACCATCCACCATTAATATCTCAAGGAAAATTAAAATTCTTGTTGTCCAAAACATTCCGTTAGGCGCTTGCTATATATGGAAGACAAAAGATGCAAATATAATTGTATCTTTTGGTGCTTCTTAACATTGGTAATAAGATTTAGTTTTTTGTTGTTGTCTGTGGTGGTGGAATTTCATATATTTTGTGGAAGAATATTTAACTCGTAGAATAGGGAAAGAAAGAGCAGTTACTTCCAACATGCTAACTGCTAGAGCTACCGATTCATTCTTACGTCTTTTACTTAATTACACCAACTGTTAATAAACGAGACACGCTATTGCTTTATCTTTCCAGATTGCAGTTTACGGAAAAAGCTTTAATAACTCAGCAAAAGATGCCTGGGAGCTGTTCCAATCTACAGGAGTTGAAGCACTTGTTGCATATGACTGTTCAGGTGCTGTTCTACTGATGGACACATTCTTGGGTGGGCTGATTGCCAGGACTTGTGCAGGTGTTTGGTCTTGCATCATATGCTTCTAACACAGCATAAATGGTGGGATCTACTGCCATGTTGATGAGGATGATCTTGGTTAGTTTGTTTTATTTAAGCACCCCATCCCACACCAAGATTTTGAGGAGAAAGAAAGTTAATTGGAAAATGGTGATGGAAAAGAATTTAAATTCCAAGTGAAATTCTTTGAAACAAATGACTTTTCACAGTTCAACTATTTTATTCAATCAAAATGATGTACCTCACCAAACCCTTAATTTTTCATGACTGCACATCATTTTAGGAAAAGTTACTCGTGGGGACAACCACCTACACATAATTAGAGCCTAAAATGAAGCATCTGAGTATCTATCCTTTGATTTAGATGAAATATTGACCTAGTTAAAAGTATAGCTGGTTAAGTATCTTATCTTTTGTATTCTGAAAGTATAACTGATTGTTGCCGGCTGCAGGTCGGTTTTGGTGACTGTAGTTGTGGAAAGTGCAGTGAAGTCTATTTATCTCTGTTACGCGCAAGACCCTTTATTAAAAGGTTGAACCCCAACCTTAAGGGTCCCCCACCGCCCCTGTCCTGGAACATCGTGAGGGAGGTAAATCGCAGGTTATGCCTCCAAGGGTACAGGGCGCAAGACCCTTTATTAATACATAGGTGGGATGCACCGTTCTTTGAACAGATGTCGGAGAAACTACACCAGAGCCTTCAACATAGAAGTGCACGCTCAAGATTAGTATTAAGTCATAGAATAGATGAGCAAATACAAGAAACAATTGCTGTTTGAATACAAGAAGCATCAATAGCTGTTAAGTACAGTTAATTCCTATGAAATTTGAAATCCTCGTTTTCTTCTCTCAGATAACATATCGAAACATGTTTATGAAAGTGATTTTCTTGGGGAGAATTAGTTTGCAACTGGGTTCACACTTTTTATAGAAGAAAAGTGTCAAACTTATGGGATTCTACCACCCTGCCAAGTTAAGATGCAACATGAAAAGTTCAAAGATTGAGGTTGAATTGAAATTTAGTAAATTTATAAGGTAGAATCTATGATTGCTTGAACTTACGACATGCATAATCAAATTATGTACAGTTCGTCATTGACAAGTAAACCATCGTGTTACTTGTATTGTGAGTTTTTCTTGGTGTTAAGTACAGTTAATTCCTATGAAATTTGAAATCCTCGTTTTCTTCTCTCAGATAACATATCGAAACATGTTTATGAAAGTGATTTTCTTGGGGAGAATTAGTTTGCAACTGGGTTCACACTTTTTATAGAAGAAAAGTGTCAAACTTATGGGATTCTACCACCCTGCCAAGTTAAGATGCAACATGAAAAGTTCAAAGATTGAGGTTGAATTGAAATTTAGTAAATTTATAAGGTAGAATCTATGATTGCTTGAACTTACGACGTGCATAATCAAATTATGTACAGTTCGTCATTGACAAGTAAACCATCGTGTTACTTGTATTGTGAGTTTTTCTAGGACTGGTCAGTTATTTAATTGTCCTTGTAAATATGTTGCAGTGCTAATTAATTAACAAAACTTAATAAAAATATGTGCATTGAATTCATTCTAAACTCTTTATTGCATAATCAAATTAGAACATTCGAAACTATCTTATTAATCATCAGTAGTAATGATCAACAATCCAATACATATTTACAATATTTTCACATGTTTTAATGAAATAATCACATATCAAATAATCAATTCTTCTTCTCTATCTGCCTATATGTTCTCCCTTTCTCGTTCTTCTTCGTCCTTCCTGGAGCCATAGACAGAGAACAAGCCAGTTAATTATAACAGAAATAATTAAAAATGATCCGTAAACTGTGAAAAAAATTCACTTATTCAATAAAAAGCACATACTCGGTTTATTTCTTCTGCTCCGGACGATTTGAGGTATGAAAACACCAGTTCCATTGCCGGTTCTCCACAAGTTCAATATCCATGCAGGTGCTGCATAATCCTCCTTATTCCCTGACCAGTTATAAAAACAGGTAGGTGGCTTTACAGAAGAAGTCATAGGGATTGAACCGTGTTTTCGCGCCTCGTTCATGTTTGGACTACTTCTGTTTTCACGTAATTCTTCATCATCACTATCTTCTGCTGTTAATAGCATAACTTGTCTCCTAAGTTCACTGTAGAAAACGTCGTCATCTTCTTCATGTTCTTCTTCAAATTCATCGTATGAGAAAACGTTCTTTGCGTACATTTCTTGTTTAAGGTTGCGATGGAAATCCATTGAGGGAAATGCTTGAAATTTATGGTTTGAAAGGTTGTAACTTTTGGAATTTATATTTCAGAGCCTGATGGAAAATGTGCTTTGACTGTGGTCAAATTTCGAAGGCAGTGGAAGATGGACTTTTCAGTCGTCTGCAAGTGGACCAAATTCAAAGTATAGTTGTCACGTCACGTAATCTTTTTTCTTTAGGTTGAGTCGTTTGAGGGGTAACTCGTTGAAGTGAGAAAAGGTCTATTTGAAACCTTCCAAATGTTAATAAAATTCAAAATATTAGGATGCATTTGATTGTAAGTACGAAATTTATATAAAAAGATTTGCATGAAAATTATCAATTAAATATTTTTGATTGATTTAATTTTTCACTTAGAAAATATTATACTTGTCAATTTTTATCAATAGGTAGATGAGAGTGAGTAAATAGATGAGTAAGATAAAGTGAAATTCTTGAAAGATAAAATCCTTCTCCTCCTAATGAAAATATTTTCCTTAATTTTGACGAAAATAGGG